ACCAGTCCCAGATGCTAGGTGAGGGTGATTGTGGAGTAAGTGGTGGAATGAAGATTGGCAGGGGAAACCGAAGTACTCGGAGAAAACCTGCCCCAACGCCACTTTGTCCACCACAAATTCCACTTAACCAGACCAGGGATCGAACCTAGAAGATGAAAGTGTTTTCAAGAATATAAATTTTTTTGGCATTAATAATATATATATATATTTCCTTTTTTAATTTTCGTTTTATTTCCTCTCCTCCCCCAACCTAGGGGAGAGGCAAAAGCCCAGCCTTCACCTTCCCCCATGGATAATTTGGATGAAGTCTGTAATTAACAGAATATTATACATGAGACAGCTCTTTGTACTGTGTGATAAGTTGCTGTGCCACAAGATGTATGACAGGTGGATTTCTGAGCAGCTGTTCAAAATCCATTAAGAACAACAGTTGTAAATTTTTTAGGAGTTACTACAGCATTACAAGAATAAAGATGTCGCCAACACCCAATGTCTCTATAAATTAAATATGGTTACATCATTTATCCCTGAAAGCAAGAAATGAAGCATGCAGTGCAAATACAACTAATTTAAAAGATCACAATTCAAATGTCTGCTGGGAAGACAATATTGAAAATGATTTTGGAATGATATGATCATACAGTGGTCCCTTTCCTTACAGACAAGTGAATATTGCAAGTTGCTCCACACCACGACCCTCAGGACACTTCTGAGCCAAAAGTTTGTGCAGTTGCCCAACAAAAGGTTTCCTGCAGTAGAACAATTCCTGTGTTGTCAGAAAAATGCGAATGTGTTCAGAAGTTGAAAATTGAAACAGCGTCACATCAGCCATACAATATTTATTTCATGCCTTCCGGTTTTCTTATGTTTGTGCCTCTTAAAACTGCATATTGGGGGAACAAGTTCAAGGATGATACATACGTTCAAAATGTGATACATAGTCGGTTACAGTCTTTAAATAAAAATAATTTTATCTCTAATGGACTGTATGAGCGTATCTGTGTTTTTGGAATTAGTATCAATGCATTGAAAAATAGTATTATGTTCATGTTTTTGCATTAAGTTAAGCTGCATCTGTATTTAAAATCACTGTAGTTAATTGATTTAACCCTCATCTGAGAATGCTCAAGAATCAAGTTGTTACTTCATATGTTGTATTTGTGCTGTCAGATTGAAACACAGGAGGTGCTGTTGCTGACCCCACAACAGGGTATTGTGTTCCCTGCAGCAGAGTATATCCGCGATACAGTGTTCAGATACTGCCTTGCCACAGAAAGCAATGTAATAGTTGTTGTTGACGGAGCAAATGTGCATCATATAGATTCTACAGTTGCGAAGGTAAGGACAGTAACATGACATCTTTATCATTAAGAGAGTTCTTTGCAATCTTAATTCCAATTAGTTATAAATTCTTAAATTATGGAATAGGCAAGCATCTTATTAACAATTATATCACATAATTATGTTAAAGAACTAACTGTGCATGGCATTTCAGTAATGTAAGGCTGGGGCCACACGATCGTCATGACGTCCGTTGTAAAAATAAATGAGAGAGGCGAAGGCTCTGCTTTCTTCTGGCTCCATTGCAGACAAGAAACTAAGCACCGCATTCTGCGACTGTGTGGTGTCCTCAGCAACGTCCGTCATGAAGTACATTCATTGCAATGGATGTACTTCATGCGCTCGTGTGGCCCCAGCCTAAGACGTACAGATTTGTGTGGAGTGTCCCATTGCAGTATGTCAACCAAGAATCTCAGATTTTAAGTTCTTAATTTGTCATTATCAGATTCTGGCAATTTTTGATGATGGACTGACAATTTAATCATCACGAGTTTATTATGCAGTTGGCTCATATTTATACTTTCTTACTGAAACTATAATTTGATATACACACATTTTATTGCTGTCTTCAGATCATTTTGAAAATGTGTATAAATATCACATTTGAAGCTGCTAAATGTTATATGCTCACCTTCTAAAATAGCGACCACATGACTTGCTGTGCTTTTGTTTACTTCCATTCTCCTGCTGACAGCAATTCCATTGTTTTGCCATGTTAAGCCATATACAGATATGGAGAGATTATATGTTAAGTTATTTCTTTGTGACAGAACATGACATTACTTGTGGAGGACCTGAATATCAGGAAGCAGAAGATTGTATTCTGGAACTGGAAGCATAGTGCAGAAGTCGTGTGTCGGGGTATAGATGCTGAAATATCAAAATACTTCAGTCATGAAGACAATCTGGAGTGTTTGCTGCAAGGTGAGAGATAGTGGAAGATGGTAATAGACTGTTTGTAGCAAGTATCATGTTTTTAGACATTATCCATCATCTTATCTATATTTTAAAACCGTCCTGTTTATTTTTCAAAATACAATGTTTTGGAGACTGGATTCTGTCTCCATCTTCCATTCTGTCTCCTCCAGAGATGGAGATAGGGACTAGCTCTATCTATTGGGCCCAACTGAGTAGGTTTCACCTGAGAATGGAGACAGAATCCAGTCTCCGCAACATCGTGTTTTGAAAAATAAACAGGACGTTTTTTAAATATGGACAAGATGATGGATAATGTCCAAAAACATGACACTTATAGCAATGTACCATCGTCACAAACTTTTAGTTCTTAATTGACTGTAGGTTGAATTTTGGTGTATGGATCATGAGGAATGTTCTTATTTGACCCTGCTTTTGTTGTATGTTAGTGTCTGGTTGCTTATAAATTTTTCAGGTTGTGTGTATAATTTCTTCCAGTAACAGTGTTATTAAGATAAGTTTTAATTGTGCCATTATCTGTCTGTCCTCAGAAATGAATACTGAAAATGACTGCAATGGCACAGTGGACAGCACAAATGGAACACACAACACATCCCTAAACACTGAACCAAATGTATGATACAGCACAAGACCTTATTGAGATGTGTGATATAGACTGAAGCTCTTCAGAAATCAGGGTAAAATTAAAGGGAAGGTTCCTACCACCTTTGTGACAGTTTGCAGTTTATTTTAAAATCATTTTTATATTGCATTTCTTGTGTGCTTTGTAAATTCCATTCCATTGTAAATTCATTCCATCAAATTCTCCACAAATAAGAATATCTAACTAATTCTAAATTGTAATCAGCAGTAAAATTGTAACTATTGTAATTTTAATCTACTTANGTTTGTAAATTGTGAATGCAGTGGAATCCCCATTGTACCCTTTAAAGCACAGTGGTAACCACCTACTTTAACATTCAGAAACTCTGCATTTTGCCCATACTGTGTGTATATGTATGCATATATGTTTCCTGTTATTCTCACAATAAACAGTAATTGTTTTCCAGAACAGCATTATCTGATTGGTCTCTGTAATGGAGATACAATGTGTTTAGTNGTCAATCAATCAATCAATTGTGAATGCAGTGGAATCCCCATTGTACCCTTTAAAGCACAGTGGTAACCACCTACTTTAACATTAAAAAACTCTGCATTTTGCCCATACTGTGTGTATATGTATGCGTATGTGTTTCCTGTTATTCTCACAATAAACAGTAATTGTTTTCCAGAACAGCATTATCTGATTGGTCTCTGTAATGGAGATACAATGTGTTTAGTTTGAGGTAGGAAGTGAATACTTAAACACTATTTAGATTAATTATATTGTTAAGAGGGTTAATATCCATAACTTTAAGGTTATCCCACATTTAAGACTTCATTTAAATGATCTCAAGTCAATTGTTTTAATGTTAAATGGCTTCTGTATACAGTTTGTTCTCAGTTTCATTTACCCCAAGAAGCTTTAAATGGGGATTTCACTTCAGTTGTTTTTAACTATGATGTACAACATGGTGTAATGATTTGCAGCATTGGTGCTGAGGAATAGTTAAAGAAATTACTTATTTGAGCTGCAAATTCACAGTGCTTTATACAGCATATTATACATGAGAATTATGTTTTTATACAGCCACAAAAGAGATTATTAACAGTAAAATCAAATATATTTGATGATCATCATTGAAGTGCAATATTTCAACTGTGAGCTTGGAAAGGATATGCCTTTATAAGCCCTAGCTTGTTCCTTATACATTTATGTAGAATAATTTTATGTGGTCATTCTGTACAAGTTTTATTGGTGCATTTAGTGAGTCATTTTTAATGCTGTTTCATTTCACAGAATTCCATATTGAAGCATTTAGGAAGAGAGTAGCAAATTTTCTTATTCCTTTTCAAGTGGTAATCCAAGTTTAAGCTGCAATGAGAGCGAGAGAGAGAGAAAAGAAGGCATATTTGAGAAAAAGTCCCATAGCAGAGATTTAGTTCTGAAAATGAAATTGCCAGGGTGGTCCCACATGCAGTCCAAGATTGCAATGAATGGTTATAATATGAAGCTATTCATATTATTGATGATAGCTTTGCACTCTAAAACACTGAACTGAATGAAAAGTACCTATTAAAATGCATATACTTAAAAAATTTGACATTTCCACCTTAGAGACCAATTAAACTAGCTATAAGGACTTTATATTTCACATCAATGTCACTCAGTCACTCAGAACATCAGGGTGCAGCCCTGGACCATTGTGACTCAACCCTTGCCCTTACCATATTGTCTTCAGTTCCTGTTTTGAGAGAGAGAAGTAAGATTGTATTGAAGTATTTAACTGTAAACACAGTTTTAAACATTTTGGGACCGAGAAAGGTCACTGCTGTTGATAAAGTGCACTGTAAACTTACAGCTTTTGGTTCAAATATAAATGATTTATGTTCACATAAAAAAGTAAGATGTGTATATACAACAAGGCTTCTGAGACAATTCACATATCTGACAATAGATGTCAGCAGTATTCACTCACTAGCAGCCTTGAAGTACATTCACTCACTATTGTTATAGGTTAGTATATATGTTTAAAATGTGTACTTTTTAAGTCATTCAGCAACTGAAAGAAGATATCCTAATAATATATAATTGATAGACACTCCACATCTTTGTAATGGTATATGATAATCTGTGGATGGAAGTCTTGTTTTGGCAACTTGTATCTGGCCAACAAATTGTCTATTTGGTATCACTGAAATAGTCTGTTTGTTGCTGCATATTAAAGCAATCTATGTTCACATTACAGTTTTTGGATTTGTATTCCTGATTACAGTTGTACTTGTTATATTGATATCACTGAAAAAGTTTGTTACTGCATATTAAAGCAATTTATGTTCACATTACAGTTTTTGGATTTGTATTCCTGATTACAGTTGTACTTGTTATATTGATATCACTGAAAAAGTTTGTTACTGCATATTAAAGCAATTTATGTTCACATTACAGTTTTTGGATTTGTATTCCTGATTACAGTTGTACTTGTTATATTGATATCACTGAAAAAGTTTGTTACTGCATATTAAAGCAATTTATGTTCACATTACAGTTTTTGGATTTGTATTCCTGATTACAGTTGTACTTGTTATATTGATATCACTGAAAAAGTTTGTTACTGCATATTAAAGCAATTTATGTTCACATTACAGTTTTTGGATTTGTATTCCTGATTACAGTTGTACTTGTTATATTGATATCACTGAAAAAGTTTGTTACTGCATATTAAAGCAATTTATGTTCACATTACAGTTTTTGGATTTGTATTCCTGATTACAGTTGTACTTGTTATATTGATATCACTGAAAAAGTTTGTTACTGCATATTAAAGCAATTTATGTTCACATTACAGTTTTTAGATTTTTATTCCTGATTACAGTTGTGCTTGTTATGTTGGTATCACTGATGCTCTGTTAACCTGGCACCACAGATTTGTTGAGTGCTGCATATCTCTGCGTGTGTATCCTCTGTGAAGTCTCATCTCTAGCAAAGCCAAAACTGTGACTCCACCATTGTTTGGGGGTCATGTTACTCTGTAGATGCATTCTTCTGACCATTATCATCTCAGGTTCAAGTTAATGGAATTTATCCTATAGTTTTTTTTTCTTTTAACAAATTCAAACCATTCAGACCTGCTGTTGAAAATATTTTATGTAACTTTTACTCTGTTAAATTTCTTGTGGCTGGACATTTTCGATGTGGTGTAAAGTCTAGACCAAGATGAAGCTCAGCAAAGCTGGGTTAATTGGGCCACAGTAGCGCAGAGTTGCTTTAAGGCTTTGGTGTTGAGATTCTTTAAGTAATAGGCTCCATCTAAATTCTGTGTTCAGTCTCCTAAGGGATTTTTTTCAAAACTCCATTCTTTTTGGGGGGGGGGGTTATAAAAAGTAGAAAGAAAACAATTCTGATAGTCTTGTAGCATGAAAATCGTTTTTCTCATTGTGTAAACATTGCCCTGGACCGTCCTGGGTTCGATTCCTGGCGCTACCAGATTTTCTGAGAAGTAGTGGGTCTTGAACGGGGTCCACTCTACCTCGTGAGGATAATTGAGCAGCTATTTCAAGGAAACAGCAGCTCCAGTCTAGAATAAAACTGAGATAACGGCCGTGGGGATCCATTGCGCTGAGCACGTGACACCCTCTATCCGCAAAAGTTGGCACTAACTTCGCCGACAAGTGGCAGTTGCTCTACAGGCCATGGAGTTTGTTTTCTGGTTTTTTTTTATTAAATATTGCCCTGTTCATCATCAGTTCCTTTTAATTAACTTCACTTTTTCTGTCCACACATACGTAATGTTCATGACACTATGGTGTTCAGTGCATGTGACAAAACAAATCGTTTAACAGAGGATATGTATGATTCTCAACTGATTCGATGGAAGAGAATCCTTCTTGGTAAGCTCACATAGTCAACAAATCTGCCTCTTGTGGAATGCAGAGATTCTTTGCTGTGTTCACAGAAACCTGCCACTAGACCCAATCCTTAGTTCTTCATGTCCTCCATGATTTGATCAACCTAATCTGTTAAATATAATTTATGGAGTTCCTTATAGTGCAGTGTCCTCAGGCTTCCTGATTCTGTCATGCTTCAGCTGCAGAAAGTACTTCCCCTCGATATAACTCATTTGTTTAAACCCTTATTTGAAACTAAAACAAAACTACATTAATATACGTATTTCCAGCCTCACAACTCACGAAGTTATTTTATTTAATGTCTTAATTAAAGTATATCTCATTACTTCATCATCATCATCATCATCA